GTCTGCCCGCATGTAGCGGATGGGGTCGGGACCCTTCTCCGTCTGACCCAGGCCAGCAAAAGCTGACATGTCGATGCCAGTGCCTGGGGGGCCAGGAGGACCAGGGGGACCTGGGTTTCCAGGAGGTCCCTATGGGAGGAAGAAGATGCAATCCTGATGGGCTGCTCTGCGAACTGGACCCCCACTTCCCTCTCACCGCCGGCGTTTGTACTCACCGCAGGACCTGGTTCGCCGCTTCGTCCACGGGGGCCAGGAGGACCGATGGGGCCGGGCATGCCGTTGGAGCCATCTTTGCCAGAGGGGCCGACGGGGCCGGGGGGACCCTAGGAGAGAGCCCCGAAGCAGGGGGTCAGATTGTTGCAAGAAGGCAGGGAAGGTGCTGGGAAGCTGTTAGCTCCTGCCGTTGGCGAGCGAGACAGGAGACTCAGGGTGGGGGTCGAGGACAGAGGTGCCTCCTTTTCCTCTCATCTCCCCCAACGCCATGGGCAGGACTTACCCTGGGACCGGAGGGACCCGCGGGACCAGCAGCACCTTGGTCTCCAGAAGGACCCTGAGGAGGAAGCGAGGGTGGATGGTTACAGCTCCACGTCCAGCACTAAGGGATGCTCAAGCCCTTGCACGGGCTCAGGGCTCCCTCCGTGACTGTGGAGACCCCAAAGGAGCCACATCCAGCTCCACAGCGAGTTATGGGGGGGCTGAGTGCTGGGGGCCCAAAAACAACACTTACGGGTGGTCCGGGAAGACCCTGCAGACCGGTGAAGCCACGGTGGCCCTTCAGCCCTCTCTCTCCAGCCTCTCCTGTCTCACCCTTGTCACCGCGAGGCCCTTGGGGACCCTGGAAGGGGAGAAGGGGCCATGTCAGGCTGCGGGTGGCAGACCCCCACCCAACGTGCCCCAGGACCCCGTGCATCACACACAGGATGCCCCGGCGGGCCCAGCGCCACTCACCGGCATGCCTCGAGCGCCAGCAGGACCGGAGGGACCCATAGGACCTTGTGCACCCTGGGGAGAGAAAAGAAAGGAGTCAAAAGGGAGCACAGGATGCTGGGGGGGTGCCCTGTGCTGTCGGGGGTGTCCAAACCAGCCCTGCTACCTGCAAGCTGCCCTGCTTGCAGCACCAGGAATCGGCAGCTGCCGGCGCCGAACGGCATCTTTAAATACTCTCAGCTGGAGCGTCTGCACTGAGTAACGATCCTTGCAAATAAATACCCGGGCAGATTTTCCCCGGTTAAGGCTCCTGGCGCTTACGGCTCCCCGGGCAGTGCTTGTGCGTAGGCAGAGCCCAAACTGGGCTCTTGGTGCTCATGAATCCTCAGGAAGATGTTGGGAGCCGCTAACGGCACTCGGGGCACCGCTGAATTAGCGACAGCCGCTAACGGCACCCGCCTGGCTCTCCCAATTACTCCGAGTGCCTAATTGCTCCTGGGGGGCCACTGCTACATCTTCATTTCTCTGCGCTCGGGGTGGTTCCCATCTCCCCTAACAAGACCTCAAACCCAATGAGCCATTTCCCTCGAACAACGCGCCGGCACTCACCGTCTCGCCTCTGTCTCCTTGTTTGCCAGTGGGACCGACGGGGCCAGGAGCGCCGGGGGCACCGGGAGCACCGGGGGCACCTACGGGACCGGTCTCACCACGATCGCCCTGCGCAGAGAGAACGGGATGGTCAGAGCCGCAGGATTTTTGGCCGGATGAGAGGGCACGCAGATAGCGAGTGCCGGAGGAAGCGTGCAGGCAAGCTCACCTTCACGCCGGCTGCGCCGTCTCTGCCGGGAGGTCCATCAGAGCCGGGGTTACCCTGGGAGAAGAAGGGGAGAAACTAAGTCTTGACCCTGGGATGGAGCAGGACATGCCCAAACTCCCTTTTCAAAGCCAAAACCAGCGGCAAAAAATGTGCTGGCGATTGCCAGAAGCTGAGTTAGGGTGCAGGGCTCTCCGGCTGCAGGATCAGCGATGGCCGGCGATGCCGCTGGGGTTACACCGTGATGATCCCCAGCCCAGCACGGACAGCGGCACCATCCCTCTTTGCCCCCTCCCTGCCCACCAGGGTGCTGCCTACCTCACGCCCAGGTTCGCCAGCAGGACCCGTCAGACCGGGGGGACCCACGGGGCCGGGGGGGCCACGGTCGCCTGCAGAGCCGGGTGCTCCTTGTTTCCCAGGTTCGCCCTAAAGGAAGGGAAAATAAAAGACAACAGGCGTGAGTGGGAGATCCCCGCGCAGCCCTTCCCCCGGCACTCGCCTCTTTTTAAGGCTGCCAGGCTCCTCTGCCCAAACAAGCATCGGTTATTGCCCGGCCCCGACGCCACTGGCACCCGGCAGCTCCCAGTAGCTTTGCAAAACCCTAAACCGCACCCAGGATTGGGGTCCCTGGGGTGCTCGCGCTGCACCTGAGGGAGCTGGTGGCTCCATGACCGGCTCATTGCAGCCCCCTCAGGGTTTCAGCAGCCTTTGAGCTGCCGCGCAGGCTTCAAAGTACCCAAATTCACGGTGCTGAGATCAGGAAAGCCAAGCTCCGACAGC